ATCTAGGTGGCGGCAACCACCAAGTATAACAAGTGAATCCCGCAGTGAAACACGAACACCAAGTGCCTCTAGATGCAAACACTCAAGCAATGCACTTGGATTCTCTTCTAATCTCACAAAGATGATGAATCAATGTTGGAGATGAGTGGGAGGGCTTTGGCTAAGCTCACAAGGTTGCTATGTCAATGCAAATGGCCAAGAGACTGAGCTTGAGCCAGCCATGGGGCTTAAATAGAAGCCCCCACAAAATAGAGCCGTTGTATCCCTTCACTGGGCCTGATTGGGCTGACTGGACGCTCCGGCCGAACTGACCGGACGCTGGTCCTCAGCGTCCGGTCGCCCGATGGCGACCACGTGTCACCTGCGTTCAATTGTGAACGTTTCATCTCAACAGTCAAAATGTTGACCGGACGCTCCGACAAAGCTGACCGGACGCTGGACCCTCAGCGTCCGGTCGTTTCCAGTAAGGGTCCAAATCCTATTTTTGCCGACCGGACGCGTCCGGTCATGCTTGATCGAACATAGCCCAGCGTTCGGTGCTTAATCCTAACCACTGTGCCGTCTGATAGCTCGACCGGACGCAGCCTTTCAACATCCGGTCGCTGAGTGACCTAGCGTCCGGTCAGTAGACCGACGCCAGCATCATTGCGACCAACTCCATTTCACCTCTGACTTCTTCACCCTTGTTCAAATGTGCCAACCACCAAGTGTACCACCTTGTGCACATGTGTTAGCATATTTTCTCAAACATTTTCAAGGGTGTTAGCATTCCACTAGATCCTAAATGCATATGCAATGAGTTAGAGCATCTAGTGGCACTTTGACAACCGCATTTCGATACGAGTTTCACCCCTCTTCATAGTACGGCTATCAATCCTCAATGTGATCACACTCTCTAAGTGTCTTGATCACCAAAACAAAATGGCTCCTACAAATGATACATTTGCCTTGAGCTTTTTGTTTTTCTCTTTCTTCTTTTCAAGTCGAAGCCCTTGATTATCCCAATTGCATTTCCATTGTCATGCTATGATCTTCATTTGCTTCGCTACTTGAAGTGTGCTACCTATCTCATGATTACTTGATAAACTAGGTTAGCACATAGGGTTTCATCAATTTACCAAAACCAAACTAGAGCTTTCAAGGGAGCAGTGAGACGACCGTGCTTTACCTCTCTTGTTCTTTCCTTTTTTTGCCATATGTTGACAAAAGGGGAGAGAGGCAAGATTGAGATGTTTCTTTTGTGTCATCGTTGTCTTGTCGTCGACGACATTGTGAGTTGTGAGAGCGAGTTTTTTTGAACTCTCTTTCTATCTTAGTGGTCTGTAATAATACTTTGATTCGCCTTTGTGTGGCAATTGGTGGTCATGGTCATGGATATGTGAATTTTTATGTGAAATGAAATGCTAGAACTGTGGTAAAATTTGTTTATGTTCATAAGTTACTAGCATTCCATAACTGTGTGATGTTTGTTCATATATATGTGATGCTTTCTATTCTGATTAGAAGATTCTAAGTGTGCAGAATGCGGAGGCTCCACGCTTTGGCCCGGAGGCTCCACGGTCTGCAGATCCAAGATATTTTCTTTTGTACATAAACTGTCATATGCATCACGGATTATTATTTGACACACTTCTTTTGCACCCCACGATGGCATGAATATAATGTATCTTTTGCACTTGCTCTTAATATATGCAGAGTATGTCTTGAGGGATATTTTTATAATTCCAAACAAATCTTGCATATATTAAGGGGGATCCCTTATATTCTTGTTATCAAAAGCTCAATCTTTCAATTAAATGTAAGCTTTAATTGTGTTGTCAATATTTATCAAAAAGAGGGAGATTGTAAGTGCAATCAAGCTCTAAGTGGGTTTTGGTGATGTTGACCACATAATTAAAGGACTAATGGCTTTGATAAGTGTTTGACAGAATATCTTTAATCGTGGATGCAAAGAAACAAAGGAGGAGATTCCCCAACTTGAATCGATGGCTTGCAACGGCTCGAAGAGCTATGTTAATTCATTTTATATTTTGAAATTGAGTCATAGGATAAGCCATACTATCAAGGGGGATACTAATGGTGTGCTGGGTGGAACCAAGTGCTCAAAACTCCATCTTCAACTCAAATAATCCCAGCCACAAAAAGCCAATCGAGCTGAATTCTTATCTGCTCTGGCCTACGAGGAACCTCCGCGGCGCGGAACCTCCGCGCTCAAACGTGGAGGCTCCACGGTCTGTCTGACCAGACCGTTTTGTGGGTGATGTGGGTGGTATTTATACCATACCCCTTCATCCCCAACGGTCATCTTCTTCCTCATTCACTCAGACTCAAACTGAAGCGCTCTCTCTCTCTCGCCCAAGATTAGTGCTCCCAACTCCCTTGCTCAAATCTTTGTGATTCCTTAAGGGATTTGGCTCTAGAGAGTGTGAGAAAGCTCGAGAAGATCCTTCTCCTTCGTTCTTGTGCACTTGGTGAAGCCCTAACCGCTTGGTGTGTTCGTTACTCTTGGAGATTGGCTCCTAGACGGCTAGCGGTCGCCCGGTAGCTCCTAATCCACTATGGTTGAGCATAGGGAAGTTTGTATTACCCTTTGTGACTTAGTGGAACCCTCTAACCCATTGCCTTGGTGATAGGTTGGAGAAGAGGAGCGAGTTGAAAGAGACTCCATAGCCTTTGTGGCTAACCTCAACAACGTGGATGTAAACAAGCCTTTGTGGCGAGTTGAACCACGGGATAAATCCTTGTGTTCACTGTGATTGTTGTTGTTGCTGCTGTTACTTGTGATTTGGATTGATTTTTAGGGTTTGCATCCGATCTACGAATTCCTCATCTTCTAGGTGCAACTGACTATTTGGATAGGTTAACATACTCCCTAGGAAGGCTGGTATTACATTCGATCTATTTTCATTCATTAAATTCCACAGTAGATCGATTTCATACTCTGATCCCCGGAGGTTCCACGCTTAGTCCCAAAACCTCCGCGCTCAAACCCGGAGGTTCCGCATTCTGACTGTTTTCATAAGTTGATTAAATTTTAGAAAAAGGCCTATTCCCCCCCCCCCTCTATGCCACTTGCTAGATCCTTTCACCCATACATACATCAAAACTATCAAGGGCTTGTTGTGTACAGGAAATCTTAGCCGGACATGAGAGCCTTAGCAAAAGGAACTTTCGTATGGAAGTTGAAGTTTTCCAAGCTTTGGTCCACATATTGCGTGAGAAACAACTACTTACTGATTCCAGATCTATCTCAGTAGAAGAGCAAGTTGTTATATTCTTGTACGCAATAGCAAAAAATGCAAGTAATGAGACCTTGCAATATGAGTTTTAACACAGTGGAGAAACAAAAAGTCATCATTTCAGTGCAATGCTTGATGCAATTACACAGCTTACATGCATATGCATACACCCACCTTCCCTACATCCTCATCAGATCTTGAGAAGACCAAGCTTGGAGTCATGGCCATGGTTGAGACAGGAAAAATGGATGACTAGGGGCGCAAGAAAATTTCACATTCGCTCACCACAGGAAAATCTCACATTGCACCATGTGTTGTTGACCGCACGAACACATGGTGCAATGGGAGTGAATTTTTGGCATATAAGCAAGTCAATGTGGACCCGAGATGGTCGGCAAAAAGGAAATTGTTCCCTAGGACACATCAAGAAGAAATAAGCAAGTGAAAGTTGGTCAAAGCTATCGGTTTCGCCAAGCCCAATGGGATGGTTTGATCATCTGACTCAACTTCATGCATGACAAGGTGAGCAACATACCTTCTCACTAAGAGAACTTCTCGTCGGCATCCCTTAAGAGATCTATGGATTATTTTAGGACTGGGTTAGTATGAGAAATCTTGAATTTAGATCTAGAAGTACGTAAACTGCTTTTAAATATACCATTTGTTTAAATTTAGACTAACCACAGTTACAAATATGTAAACCACATTATTTTTGCTTCAGACTGCATATGCAACCTAGATCTCATAGTAGAGCTATGCCAAACGAGTCTATAGTTTACAATGCAACTCTAGATTGATTTGCATTTGTGTGTGTGTGTGTGTGTGTTATCTTTGCATCCAACTTCTAGGTAGGCTACAGGCGTTGTATGTACAATGGTATAGCAATGGCACAACTAGGAAGTAGACGATGTGTCTTTTCCATACTATATACAAGGATGGAAAACATGCATGCAAGGCCTAGTAGGAGTTCAAATCTAATGCAGCACCTCATGGCCACGACACTTGCTAGTGTATTGTATTTTCTTGGGAAGCCAAGGCATGCGCGCCACCACTACTCAACTTGTAACTTTCCTAGCTTGTAGCGCATTCTTTTATTCTTGTATTTAATTTCCAATACTATATTCTATATTGTTAATAATATATGATGAATCATATAACATGTGGATTCTCTTTCTATAGATATGTACCTGGTTGATCTATCGGATCTTACCACCAAGGTACCTTAAGAAGAACAATGTCACCTTGTGTGTACCATGCACATATGTAAGATAGTAAGAGGTCCATGCATATACTCATGTATACTGAGGGTTGTTAATTTCTCTCATTGAAAGCTGAAATAAAAGGAATAAAACATTCAAAAGATAGACATCTGCAGCAACAAATTGTTTTTACCAATAGTACATAGGTAGGGTTCTAGCTACCAAATGCATGTTAAATATCTCGCTTCATCCATCCAAGTTAAGTACTAAACTTGAAAAAGCTATGGACTAGTTAACAAATTAAAGAATCGGAGAAATGAAGAAAATATCGAGTGGAACTGATGATCCAAACAAATGATTATTTGTCCAATGATATATAGATTACTGCAACTCATCAAAGCATGCAAATGAACAAAAAGGGTGGTGATTCATGATGACTTGACATCATGACCAAAACTAAATAAAAATGCATGCGTCCTAGGCTACTAGACTCTTCTAAGTTCACCGGTACTACTATCCAATTGCATTGTTTGCAGCAACATCACTTCCGCGGCTTGTTACACTACCCCTGCTGCCCCTTGTTGTTGTTGTTTTTGTTGTTGTTGTTGTTGTTGGGCTTGGTCCAGTAGCGGTCCAACAATGACCCACCATTGTTGTTCTTGTTGCTCTTCACCATGGCCTTGTTATCCCCCTCCTCCTCCTCCTGCACTCCAGCTGATCCTGCAAAACCACCGTCGTTGTTCACTCCATGCTGAGTCCCCACCAGCTGCCTAGCATCATCAATGGTTGAGCCACTCAACCCATGCCCATGCATTACACCATATGATGGCAGAGGAAATGGCATCTCCATTCCGTTGTTGCCGCCACTCATCGCGAGACATGCGTTGTAGCTACTGCTACCAGGAAGAAGCCCTCTTCTTAGCATCTCCAGGAAAGATGGCATTGTCCCACTCCCTCTCGCGGCTAGCACTGGCACTGATGCCTGGTTGGATAGTGACATTGGCGTGTAGGGCAGGGAGGCATGCTGGTTGTCCATGGTAAAGTTGAAGTCGCCACCCCCACTTGTCGACATAAGTGCCGGGAGCACATTGGGGAATAAGCCTATCGTTGTTGGGGCGGGCATCATCATGTTAGGCACCATCATCAGCTGTGCATTGGTACTCATCTTGTTGGAGCTAGAGCTGGTGTTGGTGCTAGGGGATAATGGTGCATAGGTAGCCGATGAGGACGATGAGGTGCCGGAGCTTGAGACGGATCTAGAGGCGTGCTTGTTCTTGCGACACCCACCACCAACGGGGACATTGCGGAGGGTGCCACCATGTGTCCAATAGCGGCGGCAGGCCTTGCAGAAGTAGCGTGGTTGTGTCATGCTATAGTTGTTGTAGTAGCAAAATTTGGTGTTGTTGGAGTTGCAGCGTGGGCACCTGAGCGCCTCAAACAGCTGCGGTCGCGGCTTACGCTCAACACTGCCACTTGCTTGTTGCGTGACTTGTGCCTGCTTTGGGCTCCGAGCTTCGTCCTTTATAATGGGGGATGACACCATCGCCTCCTGCACCAAATAAATTGTGGATGCACAAATTATTAACATGTGTTAGAGCCATTATTAGCGCCACAAGCAAAGAGAAATAATGATATAGTATTACACATATCACCCAACTTCCTGATTTAACAAATTAAATATCATGAAGCACAAGCTTGTTCAAAACCATAGAATGAAATGTGTACTACCTTTTTAGATGGAAATAAAGTGACGATTTTCTATAGTGGCTAGAATGTGTGATAACCACAATCATACTTTTCTATGGTAGATTATTGTGTTGTGTGCTAGTACTACATATGTAATGACACACCAAAACCAAATATGTATTTTATAGGTCCCACTTTTGTCTTTCCTGATCTCATCATCCCATAGGACCTCAATCCCTAGCCCACTTGTGTACTTCATGAAACCTGACACCAAAATCTTTGGACACCAATCAATTTAATCCAATAGTCTATTTGCAACCCCTTTTAACCCTAAACACCCCTCGAGTCGCCTCCTTTCCACCTCCCTATAGCCACCTATGGTGCCGTCACTACTATACCTAACACACTCCTGCCCTCACCCAGCCCCACACTAGTGCCAATTCCTTGCTCACTAGTGTTGGATACTGAGAGACACCCTGCCATGCCTAAGCCCTCATCTTTGATATGCCCATGTATGTGTCTCACCTACATCATTTTCGACACAAACCAGTCACTCCAATGTGCCTCATCCTCTCTATCCCCATTAAATTGTACAACGGTCAATCCATGATACACATAAGATGGTCCATTTTCCTACTTTGTCTTGACCAATCCACATCCTCTCACAGGGATCATACCAATTACCTACTTGCCATTAGGAAGCCCAACACCTGAATATTAAGTTGCCAGTCACTGTGATCCAATGCCTCATTTTCCTACCCCGTTTAAGCCTAATTTTCGTTACCCATGCATGCTGCCACCAGTAACGTACCCAACACGTACACTCTTGTGCCCCTACTACTCGCTCACCCGTGTTGGATGATGGGTGTCATCCTGGCATGCTTGAGCCCCCATGCTCGATATGTCGATGTTCGTGTCTCACCTGCATACGCCAACCAGACACCATACCCTCGCAGACTTAATCCCCTCCATCCCACCAACAGTGCCTTATTCACCTTCTCCATCATGCTCTCATCCTTGCACGCCATCGCCCCTCTTCATCTATGGTGGCTCCCTATCGGTTATCATCGCTACATCTACCGTGATATTAACTTGGATTTTCTAGGATGTCGTTACGTTGTCACCCTCTAGCCCTCATCCTATCACATCCACCTCCACCACCACTCTGCCACCATACGATTTCCCTCAAGGCTTACGGGACTATGGTGAGCACCAACCCTGAACCTTAATCTCATAAGTGTCGCCAACGTTAGAGAAGAGGGATACATGGTTTAAACATCCTATCGCCCCAAAAGTGCAGTGACAACTTTGTTTAAATAAATTCGAGAATCTTGTTAATGATGCACACTATAGACTAACAAATCAAGAGGCTGAAATAAATAAAAAAGTTTAGGAAACTTTGAATTAATTTGGAAGGTTATCCAACAATTGATTCATGGAGAATATTCTAGCAGTGAGCTAGCCTGCTAGCTACTTGAAATCAAGAGAAAGAAACGAACTTGTATCATAGATTGAAGAAGAAGAAGAAGAAACATATATAAAGGTTAACAAATATGTTCGTGTCTCACTTGCATATCGATCTATATATGGAAAGAAAGTAGCCAACATGAAAGGGATGATCGAGCGCAAGGAGGCGATCACCAAGTTACCTGCTGGTGGTTGTGGGGAGCTGATGCTGCTGCAGTGCCGCTGGTGATGCTGGAGCTCATGTCCATGGATCTTTCCTTCCGCTAAGCTGTAGCAAATATAGCATAGATACATGAACAAGCACTTACATATATGCACCCACCCACCAAATAAAGGATAGATCGGTCCTAGCAGGTAAAGCAAAGAGACCTATCAAAATCTCTGAAAATCAACACATCTGTCAACCAACCTGTATCAAAACACCAAGAAGGATCACAGAGTACACGGGACGGACTGGATGTTGTGTCGACCTAGCTTCCTCTTGTCACTGAGAAGAAGGGACAGAAAGAGAGATGATGCTTTGAGAGTGCCTCCTTTAGTTTTTATAGAGAGGAAAGGGAGTGAGCGAGGCAAACAGATGGATGGATGGTGTGAGAGCCCAGTATACATACAGTGGGCTGGACAGATGGAAAGCCAGCTAACGGACAGTGCAGTGGAAACGGCGGCGGATTTCCGTGAAAGCAAACCGCGCGGCGCGTCTGCTAGCTGATGACGCGTGCATGGCACACATGAGAGCCATGCATGGTCTTATGGATGGCGCAGCCCACACCGAGATGCCTTGCAGGTCTTCTCTTCCGTTCGCATACAACAGAAACGGCAGAGAGTCTAACAATCATGACAAGCTCGACGGTGCAGTGCTCGCACTTCATCTTGAACTACAAGCCTCTCATCCTTGCATGGTTGTTTCCCCCTTTCCTACCTGAAAAACAAACAGTGGTGACAGTCACATCAGTTACGGTCGATGCTAGAACACGCCATCACACAGGCACACACAACATGCATCTCTCACATACACACCTTTGTGGCTTGCCAGATTTAGAAACTAGCCTAGCCGATTTCGACAAACTAGGTCCATTAGTAGACCCCGCCGAACGCTCACCCGAGAGAGATCCCACTTGAGCAAACTCGCTCCAATATTCCCTACTAGGTTCAATAGGCCAGCTAGGATTCCTTCTTATGACATGGAGATGAGATAAGAACATCAGATGGGGTTGAAAAAGTAGGCTTACAGGATAAGAATACAAAAGGGTGTCAAAATATAAAAATGTTGATAGATACAGTTCGAGGCCATCAAGCGGTGGTGACCCTTTATATTTATTGGGTGGGGAGGTCTACCCTAGGAACAAGTCATAATAATTTATTACACAGTCGTGCTAAATTACAACTTTAACTCAGACTTTCCTGAAATCTAGCTTTGCCAACTTTAAAAAAGGTTTAGCTGGTTTTCACAAGTATGGACTTTCCATAGCCATTTTGCTCCCACCCGAATTCGACTAAGATTACATATACATTTTACTCAGGTCAATGAGTGCTACACAATGGTGACGTCCAATCTATGATCTAGCTAAGCTGGCTTAGGGAACCAGCTAAGCCAGCTTAAAGGCTAGATCTCTAGTTGTTCTAAGGTTATCAGAAGGCAACGATGATGGTTATGCACCGCTTCAGATAACCATCTCAAATTTTGGTCATCAACAATGATAGTTATGCAAGACCTAAAGGCTAGATCTCTAGTTGTTCTAAGGTTATTCAGAAGGCATTTTTAAGTTTTGAAGGATTTTTTTTTTGGTTGAATGTGTGATTTTTTAGGAATATGATTGCTTGAGTGTAAGTGTAACCACCAAGCAACTTGATGCATGGTCTTGCTCTTCGATCAGTCTTGACTCTTGACCGAAGCAAGCAAAGCAATGATTGTTACCAGAATTATAGTTATAGACCTGATGCATCCCACCGATTCCTACAACAATCTTATTTATTTTTTGGTCCATCATCGCTCGCAGGCAGAGTGCAGTTTGAGGAACCGAAATTCATATTGATGCATGGTCCTACCATGGACCATTCTCAAAACATACTCGGCGAGAATAGTTGCAGCTACAAATCAAATAGATCCTGGGATGGATTATCAGAACTCTTTGTAGATGAAACCGGAAAAGAATGATGGGGTTTTGAACTATACAATTTCTCCTTTTCCTTTTTGCAAACTACCCCATGAGCTATCCAATTGCCTTCCGTGTTCTGCTTTCGAACGGTGAGGCCTGTCTTACAGTGTCTCACCATATAAAACAGTTGCTTCCGAAAAACAGTCAGTTCCGTAAAACAGAGTCAGAAATCTGGACTTTTGCTTGTAACTACAACCAGAGTCTAGAACAGAGACTGGTAAAAATCAGGGAAATATCAACCTTATCAAGCAAAACCACCATGGCCAGAGACAGTTCTTAGCTGCCTCTATTCATACCCGATGACTGTCAGGCGTTAATTAACAATCAACATGTAACGCCTCTAACATGGGTTAGCTGAAGCGGTGCAGAATATGATTGTGCCTCAAAACATCGTCAGAGGACCTGTCTTGCCTCATCAGGTGAATCATTCGCAGCCCTGAGAACAATAAGAACAATCTATGCCTTCACATGTTCACGGATGAATTGCTCGACAGCTGAAACATTACCAGTCATACCGGCACCCTCAGCAACAGCCACCTTGTTCTGGCACTGGCTGAAGTTGAATGCCTCTCCAGGGACCCCGAGCTGGACTTCATCAGAGATGTCAGCTGATGATATGGCATTCCTTGATTCCAGAAGCTTGTTTCTACAACATGGGAAAGAAGGGCAGGCATTAGAAACCTTGTGAATTTATTAATATTTCACATCAGTAGGAGACTGGTACATATGTTTTGCATGCTCGCTTAAAGTTAAAGGTGGCTACGAGTTATAGATCTGTTTGGGATAAGAAACGGGGATATGCAAGAACTACTACTACTCCCCAACCCAAATAAATTCTATATATCTTTGCAGATTATTATCATGTATAAGTCATTGGATACATTCCTGTTGCACATCAGATCTAGGAATACGATCCATAATCACAGCATTTATTGACTACTGGGTTTGAGTCATTCAAATTCTAATTATGCAAGTACCATAAATGTTGGGACGAGAGAGCTGTCCTTACATTTCTTTCTCCAACTGTTTCTTTATGAACTCCTTTGAGTGGGCTGTAACTTTATCTGTCTTGTTGCAGAATATAAGCACAGGAACCTTTTTCTTCACTACAGTTGCCTTTGTCAGAATGTCATACAGGTACCTGCAAAAGGATGGTAATATTGTTATGCAATGTTAACAGCATTAACAAATGATCAAACAGAGTAATTTTTCTGCAATTTTAATAACATTAACAAATGATCAAACAAAGTAATTGTTATGAAATGTTGAGAATATGGAGAAGGCTGCTAGTACCACAATGTTAACTACAATAAGAAATTAATCAAACACAATAATTTCTGCAATTTTGGGATATGAAGAAAGCTCCTAATCAAACTGCTAATTTCAATCCAGCACAAAAGCAAGTAAAAGTAGATGATATAGACACCAAAGTTATTTGATAAATACTAAAACAGAGGGCACAAAAATTACTCTGCAGCAGCTTGCATGCTAGAGAAGAAATCTTGAGCATCAACAACGAAAACAACCCCAGCTGCTTTAGGCAGGACTTCATCAAGCTTGGGCTTGAGCCTTGAATGGCCAGGGACATCAACAACATGCACAGGTTTTACTTTGCCTTTCTGAAAAGCGCAATAGGAAGAAGGTTTAGCAAAAATGTTGCAGTCAAGAAATGCATGTTTCTTCATAAAAAAAACTATGCTATCCATTTTATTTTTTATCTCAATATGTCTGAAAAAGAATTAACTCTTCAAGTTTCTTACCCTTTCTTGCTCCGAATGCAGCACAAATGTGTCATTGTTTTCTTCCATTGAAGTCACAGTTCCTTGGTGTGATGATCCATCCTGAAGCTGACAAGCAGACACAGAATTAGGCAATTAGCAGATAAATAAAAGATAGTACAACCCACCTACCTGTTACAACGGTGTTGATATGAATACCAAATGGTCTAATAGACAAAAAGTAACAAAAATATATAATCCTGATTTTTAATGGTATCGCAAGGCAGTGCTTCTAGAATCAGATATGAGCATAGTCAAATCAAACAGAACCAACTATACTATATGTAAAAACAAAATCCAACCACATAAGAAAGAGATGTCCTGCTAGAATTTAATGCACAAAATGATGTTCAGACAAGATTATTTTGCAAACTAGATACTACAACCTTGTCCTTCACTTGTAAAACCCTACACCCCATAGACAAAAAGAACAGCAGTTACCTGGTAGAAAATAGTAGTTTTGCCACTGCCACTAAGCCCGGATAGCACTATAGTATTTGGCTTCGAGGATTTCAGACAAGATGCTGTGGAAATATAAAGGCAGACAAAGTAATTGCTTAGCACTCACCAGTCACCACTCTAATGTAATGAATTGTATGATAAAGCATAGATCTTGACAAACAACATGGTGGAAACAGATAATATGTACAGCATGACACATGACACCTCATGTATAGCATTCCAAACTATAAGTCGTTTTGGCTTTTATAGGTACGTAGCAAAAGCTATGTATCTAGAAAAGCCAGAACAACTTATAATTTGGAACGGAGGGAGTAGATCATAAGGTATCTCTGAACAAAAAGCAAAAACCCTTCTTCACTTCATAACATAAACATGCCATCATCAGAGACCTCATGTTCAAGAACTTGTAAATACTAAATCATCGAGCACACTAACTATTGCTAATAAAACCATGGGCCTAATTTTCAATTATTTAATCTATATTACTACATCAAAACAACCCTGTTGAAGTCTTCAAACTTGTGGCACAATGACACCTCAGAGTCTGAATGAACCAAGGCTCAAAATTTCCGCTACATCCTTCCTTTCTAAGCACAACTATAATTTTCAAAACTAATAAATGATCGCAAACTCCACAGATTGGTTAATTTATACAGGTATAAACGATACTGTTTGTCCCCCTCATAAATTAGGTAACTGCAGCTTGCTCTCCTGTAGTTGCTTAATTTAATCGGAGTATAGCCTCTTCCTCCACTGCCCAAATCAGCTCCCATATGATCCAGGGCATGGAGTCGGTCACATCTTATTTTACCCAGATATATGAAGCAGACAGCACACTAGAGCTAAATATGCAATTCCAGATCCACAACTAGTTTATTCTCCAGTGATTGAATTAAATCGAAAAAAAAAACTTAACCAGTAACAACTGTGGCGCTTTTATTTAGGCGGGCGAGAATGTTTCTCCAGGGATCCCACCCCAAGCAGTCCCCTGCCGCAAAACTGAACACACCTATTTCATGCCTACTGGGCCACATAAGAATCCGTGGGCGTTGGCAGCACAATACTCCGTACTCAAGAATGTAGGGAATTTGAGAAGAAGTCTAGGTTTGGCAGCGGACGTACCTACGATAAGCAGCAGGACTGTGAGGGCAACCACCGCGGCCGCGATATAGATCTGCTCCGGGGGCTGCTGGCGGATCCAGCTCTCGGCTTGGTGAACCCACTCATCCATGGCTGCTTGGAGAAGGCCGGCGGCGGGAATCGGTCGCTCGGGGGAGGCGAGAGAATGCAGCTGCGAGGGCCGAGGAGAGTGGTCGTTGTGGGCCGGCCGTTGCCGTCTTAGTGTGCGTGGGCTTGGCAGACCGGGCCTGCCTATGTGAGTCCGCGCTGCGTGGGCTTTGGCCATCTTGTACTTGGGCGTTAACGTTATGCATGTTCGGAGCAATTCCTTCCTTCCTTCCATGCTCGGAGCAATTCACTCACTATTTTGTTTGTTTATAGATTAGTTTGATTTGATGATTTCATTTGAGGAACTCAAATTCATTCATCCATTCATATTCACGATGCCACCATCCTCAGAACATACACATACACGGCAAACAGATCAGATTAATTAGTTGCAGCTACAGATCAAAAGGGGGTTGCAACTAATCCATCCTCATAATAAGCATGCATGGGGTTGCTTCGCTACTGCCTAGTGAGCATCTGCAGCAGGGATCATTTGGTCATTGTATTCATGTATCCGAAACAGACAATTAGTTCCTCAAATCAACTAATTTCTCCTCTACACTTTTTGCAGAGGAACTATCACAGGACCTTTGACTTTCAAATCCCTACCCGGCTATGAGTGGCCGCCCAACCAATAGGCTATCCAAATCCATACTCCCCATCCGGACTCCAACGCTATCCACCAGATGCCTTCCTCTTCTGCTTCCCCGAGGTGAGGCCTGTTTTGGTAGCCAACAAATAAAGCACAGCAGCCAAAATGTCTGAATTATCCACACACACACAAAAACAGTGTTACAATATCATCTCAAGTTCTCAACAGAGATGTAATAACTACCAAGTTACCTATATATTGCCCTAGCAGCATTATGGACCCTTCAAATGAATCAACGAACGACGCTCATAACTCAAAGGAGACTGTTAATGTCGTACTCCTCTCTTGCTGCTCTCTTCAGTATTTCCCTCTGCATGATGAGTCAGTTAGTCACAAGTTTGCAGTAAAGAAGATTTTTCTGAATCTTGTGAAGAACTAACCTGAATTTGTGTCGTAATGCATCCAGCACCTTAGTTTTGAAATTTGACAAGTTTACAAACAGTCTTTAAAATCACCGAAAGGACAAAAAAAAAAGTGGAAAGACGCTATAAGCATTGCGTACCTGAAACTTCTTCACTGCCCAAGGTACATCGCTCCAGGTTTTAGATTGTATGTCCTCCCAAAATAAAGGTACTTGAACTGACTCTACATGCTGGATAAGCCTTAAGCTACCTGCTACAGGTATGATGTATATGGTACACCAAATAGCAGCAGCCAATGCTCAAAATAAGGACATCATGTACCAGCAGGTCGTGTTATCCGAGAGGGAAAATTCTTACTTGTAACAAATGCCTCTTTCCAAAATTCATTATTGGACCACGATGGAGATATCTCTCGTACTGGGATTCCAATATCATGGCACACCCTGGTCCAAAGAAATACAACTTCTGTTACAAGGCATCAGCATTTGGTATTATCTCTATCTCGCAATATCTCAGTCAGGATTGCAGTGTCAATCACTCCCTCTTACGCAACCCCTTTAGTATGCAATTATTAGGTCTGCATGTCCACTGGACCTAGTGCAGAGAGTATAGAATGCAAAACTGTGAGATGAAAGAAGGTAATATCAAAGCAGGCATAAGGTCCCTCCCAGCTACTTTTATTAGTATCCTGAAATTTGCTTCACTCTCTCTAAGCCCTTGTTTAGTTCCCAAAAACTTTTTCCAAAAAGTGATACAGTACCCATCACATTGAATCTTGCGATACGTGCATGGAGCATTAAATGTAGACGAAAAAAAAAACTAATTGCACAGTTTGGTTGGAAATTGCGAGATAAACGTTTTGAGCCTAATTAGTCCATGATTGAACACTAATTGCCAAATAAAAACGAAAGTGCTACAGTAGCCCAAATTTCCAAATTTCGTGAACTAAACACTCACTAAAACCATACAAGATGATAAAACCAAAGCATGTGGAATTCAGAGTAGTCAAAGAATACTTACTCTATCACTATCTGACATATAATCCCAGGGAGGACTCCATCACTCAGTGGCGCTGTTTGCACTTCAAACTTAGTAGCCATTGTTTGATTAGAGAATTGCCCATTCCTCTCATTTTCCTCCTATAGAGAAATGCACCAGTTATTGTACAAAAGAAAAAAACTATATTTTCAGAATTCCAACATGACAATGCACTTGTTTAAGTTCAAAAACTGTAGTGTACACCATTAGTAGAGAAGATCCATGTGGCTGGCAATATGTTGCAGGTGCTTTTTGAGAGACCAGATCAGATAAATACAACAACAAAATCTCAAAAGTGTAAAGAAATTTGGTCATTCCTTGGAGGCTTGGACATCCTAGAATCCATTCATAGGAAGGCACCAAGGATCGTCATTTTAGCTCAAACTCTAATCATTACATGCATTTATATGATGACAGGACAACAAATAAGGCAGCAGCAGACATAAAAAGTAAAATACAACTGACCAGAATAGATGAAAAAGAAAATTTGTGAAAGGAAATGCATGACTTTCACTTGTGCCTTCCCAATACATGGATGGTGACACTCTTTTCTCTGTTCTGGTGAACAAAAATAATATGAGACTAGTTGTTAAGTGATGAGTACCGAGAACACTATAATATCATTGGCATTCAGTATAAGTGCTCAGTGTCAGTGCAGAAGGATTCTTCTTGCATATTATCAGTAAAAACCGCAACATGGATGCCATCCATTCATAGACAAGAAAGAAGTTGGACTCGCCTGCTGGCAGACAACAAAGAAGTTTGTGACAGCGCCTTCAAGAATATGATGATCCCCGTCATTAGTCAACAAGAGCTCTGTGACCCCAGGAGGCCTCATCTTTTCCAAATTCTTCCGGATCCTGCATGCATTCATCCAGAGGAAAGGTAAGGAATGGAATACTAGCTCAGCAGCTTAGGCAGCAACAAACTTTCAGGAAGATTGCAATGAATCGCATTAGTTAGATAGGGCAACATACAGTAGAGTACAGCACCGACCTGGCCCAGGACGCGTACTTGGCGGCGGCGGCGTCCCTTCCCCTGCCGGCAACAGCAAGTCTGGCCCCCGACTCTCCAAAGACCGGCGGGGCATACGTCCCGACGTGGACGAAGACGTCGAGGCCGTCCCAAGAACCAGAAATGGAATCGGCTCCTGCTCCTGCTCCTGCTCCTCTGACCAGGGCAGTGAGCGCCAAATGCTCGTCCTTGGTCACGGGCAGCCGAGTGCGCATCTCGTGGATGGCGACCCGCACGGAGGGGTTGACGAGAGACTGGATGGAGAGGAAGTCGAGGTCGAGGGCGCGCGATCGGGGGAGGGGGAGGCCGAGCAGGTGGGGGTGGGAACGGGCGAGGAGCGCGGCGGATTCGGCGAGGCGGCGGAGGTGGCGTGGCCACCAGAGGAGGGTTCCGCGGGCGGTGGTGTAGGCGCCCGGCGTGGAGTCGAGGAAGGCGGCGGCGGATGGGGGAGCGTGTGGGGCGATGGTGCCGTTGCTGACGAGCACGGCCGCCGGCGACGGCGACGGCATGCTCAACTGAACTGACGGTGGCGTTGACTGGGACGGGGCCGGTGGTAGTAGTGGGAATGTGGGATGAGTCAAATCGGACGGCCGTGGACAGGGCCAGATTGAGGATCCGACGGCCTACATCTACATAAACTTTTTAGTTAAGGATTTCTCAACTTCTAGCAATATACGATACTTTTGAAATTAAATTAAAGCAACAAGTCTTTCAGTGGATGATTTGATTCCTCCGTCTTGTTATGATAGATAACAAAGCAACAAGTAGTCTTGGCTTACAACAACAATAATGCTGCGGTGAGGATGTCCGTCTACACGCCCTGTTCTCGGACCTGTGCAGCGATCGGGGCAAATAGGCCTGCTTCGTTCCACCGTCAGCATGGTTTCTCCAAAAAGAAAAAAAATGTCAGCGACATTTTCTTTTCCCACCGCCGCATGCAGCGACCAATGCGAGCTCCTCCATTGTGTCGCACGCATGCGACCGCCACGGGAGCCTTTATCGTGGGATCGGCTCGCCGCGGCCTTCTCCAACGTGGCAGCACCGCACCTGGGCCCATCCCGCTCTGCTTCGCGTCCCATGCCCCGCGTCCCATCCGTTGCTCTTGCCGCTCGCCCCGTCTGCTCTGTCCTCATTTGCTCTTGCACTGCTCCACCTTTGCTCCCTCTTGCTTTTTGTCATTTGCTCCGCCGCCCATCCATTGCTTCTGCTCTGCCCGTCCCGCTTGATGGCCTTGAATACGTTGCCCGACACATTGAGAAGCACCGAGAGCCTAGCGTGGACTCCCTCCACCCTCGCTTTTACTGCTATAGCATGGCGCCCGATCTGTGGCTGCGGAGGATGATTGTCGGAGACCAATACTAGGGTACCCGAAGAGTAGGGGTTAATGGTCGTTATACGTTAATCCATCCAGGCAGTCAAGGGTGTGACTACTGGCTCAACCGACCCAGAGGTGGGCTCGCCGCCGCCCGATGTCGAGGCGGGCTCGCCTCACGACATCTGCAGTGGTGGCTCGCCTGCGCCGACACCGAGGCCACGGGCTCGGGCTCACCCGACCTCTAAGGGCGGGCTCCACCTTGCCCGACCCCCGAGGGTGGTCTCCGCCTCGCCTGACACCAAGGCCGTGGTCTCGGCCTTGCCTGACCTCTAAGGGCGGGCTCCGCCTCGCCCAACCCCCGAGGGCGGTCTTCGCTTCGCTCGACGTCTGGGGGCGGGCTCCGCCTCGCCCAAAGTTTGAGGGCTGGCTCCACCTCGCCCGACGTCTAAGGGCCGGCTCCGCCTCGCCCGGCGTCTGCAGGTTAGTTCCGCCTTGCCTGATCCCTCGGGCACGGCTTCTAACTGAAAGTGCATCTAGCCCTTTAGTGGGTTTTGGATGATTTAATGACAACGTGATTAAAGGTCTAACACGTTTGATAAGTGTGGACAGGTAATAGGTTATCTCACAAGTGCTTAATGAAAGCAAAAAATGATATGTTGTTATATAAATAATCTAGTTCAAGCACAAGATAATAATACAAATGGAATTCATGCAAAGGCTCATTTATTGTGGGATTTTCATGTACTATGTGAAAGCAAGCTCGTAAGAATTAATTAATGAGACATGGAGGATTGCATATGGAATGGTCTCATATTTGATGCTTGCTAAATTGGAATAAAAAAGATAACAATACCAATGAATAGATGATTCAACACAAGATGTGACTTGATGGCTTGAGATGGTGAAGATAGCAAGGAAAGGCTTCGAGGTACTAAGCAAGGGTGAAGGGCAAGCGACGGCTTGGCGGCCAAAGAACCTAGCTAGGGTGAAGAAGGAAGTACTTGCATTTAGTTGAGGTACTAATCAAGCTACGATGGTTATATTGATGTGGAGGATCAAATCTATATTGGACAAAGTGTTTGAAGTGACTTGATGTATTTGGAGTTATTCATATTTGATGAATGGAATCAAGTCATGTGCTCAAGATGGCTATGCTCAAGTGAAAAGATCAATATCAATATGTTGGCACCCTTACTTGATGAAGATTGAAAGAGACGGCATTAATTCAAAACAGGTCAACTCAAGCGATATACATTTGTTTTTCCTTTAATCTTGAGTTTAATAGGTATGTCGTACTATTAAGAGGGATGCATCATATTGATAGATAATGTTTCATATGTGCTCAAGCCAACCCATGTGAGTTTTGAGTGTTTGAGAGACAAAAGAGCTAATCTGTTTTTTGTTGGTCTGGCAATACCAGACGTGTCCGGTATTGATACCAGACATGTCTGGTATTTGCCCAGCAATGGTAAAATTGTTGTTCTCGGGTTGGTTCGTCGGGAGTTCCGATGTGAGTCGGGAGTTCCGGCAATGGTCGGAAGTTTTGACATCTCGCGCTTAACTGACTTGGAGAGTTCACTATGGTGGTCATACCGGACGTGTCCAGTATGGACGGCTAGAGGCCAACGGCTAGTTTTCAAATACCTTGAGAGTCGAGAGTTCCGACGGTCAGGAGTTCCGACGGTCGAGAGTTCCGTCATGCATCGGGAGTTCCGACACCTCACACACCTTAACTTAGTTACCATAGTTTTCAAAAGTGCTGAGGGTCGGGAGTTCCGAAGTAAGTTTGGAGTTCCGACGGTCGGAAGTTCTAGCATTCATTGGGAGTTCCGACACCTCACAACATTACTACAACTCAATTACCGTTGGCGCAGTGTAAGTCATACCGGACGTGTCCGGTATGGCAACGGCTATAAAACGGCTAGTTTTTCTAAGGGGGCTATAAATACCCCCAAGCCTCCACCTTTGGAGGTTGCTAATTCTGCTGATCCTCTAGCACATTTTTGAGCTTTGCCAACTCTCCCAAACCCTCTCTTAGCGAGTGTGATCCAAATTGCCAAATCAATTAGTGGGTTGAGAGAAATTAAAAAAGAGAGCAATCCAACCACTTGAGCACTTGTGCATATTGTCAATCTCATGATTCACATTTGTTACTCTTGGACTCTTTGGTCCTAGATGGTTAGGCGTTGTCGGAGAGCACCCGAGAGATTGTGGTGTGCCTCAGAAAGTTTGTAACGGTCGATTCCGCCGCCTCGGAATCAACTAGTGGAAGGAGAAAAAGGAGTTGGAAAAGACTCTGGCTAGAGTGACCTTCGTGGTACCCTCTAGGGCTGACCTTCGCTGGGTCACCCGTAGCCCCCTCAACGGAGAGTAGGACTCGAACAAGTCTGAACTTCGGTAAAACAAATATCGTGTCTCAATTCACATTTCAATTGATATTTGTGTTGCTCTAGCTCTTATGCAGGTTCTCTGTGTATATTGTCATCCCCAGTAGGTGCCTGCAGTTTGGTTTGAAGATGGAAATCAAAAGGAACAAGTTTGGGGCTATTCTGCAGAAATCGTGTATACCAGACACGTCCGGTATTCATATCGGACCCATCCGGTATTTCCTGCTTGCGCTGAATATATTCATTCTCTGTTCTAACTTTGTGTTGCAAGGTTATAGCTTCTAGATATATTCTTTATACCTTGTTTACTCTATGGCTAACTTGTGAGGGGTGGTATTACTCTTAATTTGGAGTTGAAACTCCCATTTCTAATTGTTTCTGCATTTAAAGGTGTTAATTTTTAGAAACGCCTATTCACCCCCCTCTAGGTGGCATCCTAGGTCCTTTCACTAATGGAAGCTCACGCCGCCGCCAACCACTACGGGCCAGAAAGTACAACCCAAGGTCAAACTTCTGGCATCGTGCAGGGAGCGGTCACGTCTCAACACGACCCATCCCCGCGACATGTCATTCCAGGGGACTCACATTGCCCACAGTGATGGATGCGTGGTCACTATGCTGTCTACTCCCTGTACGACCACTGATCAGCACGCTGGTTCACCGCGCCGCCCGTCGGGGTGGGATGGGACGTCACGACCCGCTGACAAACGACAGAGCATGGCATCATCAGGCGAACAGTCGCCCCGCGTGGGGCTATCCCTATCACCACCGGCCATATCTACAGGGGCCGCATAAAGGAAAGGAAATGCCTGGCGACCCTGAAGGACTTCCTCTCCCTCTCGTTCTTCTCTTTTCTCCCGTTGTAACACGTGCTTTCCCTTGGCCTATAAAAGGGAAAAGCAGGGTGTCCCTTAGAGGGGCATCGAACTCGCATCGCATCGCACCGCATCAGATCAGAATCACTAGCATCGAACCTCGAACACATAGCCGAGCAGCGACCAAGCTCTCAGCACCGATTCGTCCCTTCCACCAGAGACTTGGGACATGTCCCTCTCTCGACCATTTGTAACCCCTACTATAAACTTTTCAGTGCTAGTAACACGAGCAGCAGCAACGAACTGGACATAGGGACATTCTGCCCGAATCAGTATAAACCTCGTGTCCTCTTAGCACACCATCCGGGCCAGACACGCAATAATACAAATTTACTCGTTGGTGTTTATTCGAAACACCGACAATGCCGCACCAGGATATGATGCATGTTGCAAGTGTACATTTCAAATGTTTCATATGTTTTTGAGATATGTTGCAATTATTTCAAATGGATGTTGCAAACTAGATCGAGATGGTGCATATGTTGCAAGCGTCTGTCCCCAATGTTTCATTTGTTTTTAGACGTATGTTGCAAGTGTATTTATTTGGATGTTGCATATGTTTCACATATGTGTTGCAAGTATTTATCTGAATGTTGCGTAAGTGTTTTGCAAGTGTTTCAGACACATGTTTCAAGTGTTTCATCTGTCTTTTTTTGTATGTTGCAAGTGTTTGCATTCGGATGTTTCAAAAGTAGATCAGGTGTTTCATATGGAATGAAGCAGGAGGGGCACGAGCGGTCCTCGCAAACGCGCACCACGAGGGACATTTCGGTGGCGCAAGCCCCTCATGGGTGCACGAGTCGTAGGAGCGAGCGAGCAATGTTTGGACGGCGCGAGCTCATGTAGCGATGCGTGAAAACGGACTGCCACCACGGTCGTCCGTCTAAACGTCTGGACGCTAGTAATGTCGTTACAAGAAGAACACGTTGTTC